TGATTCTAATTAATAAGCTTTAAGCCAATTCCTTGCAAAAGATGGTACACTTAATTTCCCAGTAATCCTTTTGTCAAACGACCTGCTTTATTTTCCTTCGATTTGACATAATTAATAAAAAGTGTACAATTTGAAATTAGTTGTTTAATGACATTATGTTTGCGATGTATATATATCGAAATTTACCATTATACTATTATTTTGCGCATTTCCTATAGCCAACTGACTATCATAATGTATGTTGATAGCAGATATTTCTCTTCCTAGCACAGAATATCCTCAAAAAAGTTACGAAGTCATTATGGTTCTTCTCCAACTTTATCTAAAGCAATAAACTCGGATTCTATCGTGGATCGAGTAACACAAGTTTACATAGAGGATTTCCTGGACACTGCTCCTTTTTCAATGGTGAAAGCATAACCATTTGTTGACTTCGAATCGCTAGAACCAGATATCCAATTTGCATCGGTATATCCTTCTAATATCATGGAATATCTAGAATAGTGTAATCTATAATTAATTGTGCATTTTAAATATTTAAGAACCCTTGTCAATGTCTTCCAATAGTCATTTCCTGTATTATTTATAAATCTACTTAATTTGTTGACATCGTATGCGATATCCGGATGTGTGCAGTTAGTAATATGGATTAACCTACCTATAATGCATGAATAATCTAATTGTGATATGGGTTCATCAAGATTTTTGGTTAAATGTAGACTTAAATTTATAGATATTTTAACTGAATTATCGTCACACACCTTCAATTTTTTAAGTATAATCTCAACAAAATGAAATTGAGACAATGACAATCCATCAAGTGTTTTAGCGATCTGAATTCCTAATATGATATAAGCAGTACCCATATATTTCATATCAAAATATTTTGCCAATATTTTCTTGGTTAATAATTAACATATCGTCAACATATAGACATACAATCATATATTTATTTGATATATTTTTTATATAAACACTTTGTCGCATTTATTAATTTTTAAATCACTTGACAACATAATTTTGTCAAATTTTTCGTGTCATTATTTTTGTGTTTGTTTTAATCCATACAATGATTTAACAAGTTTGTACACAATTTTCTCCTTTTCAGGAACGACAAACCCTTTAGATTGTATCATGTATATTTCTTCCTATAATTTACCATTTAGAAAGATCGTTTTTACACCCATTTGATGTATTTGAGATTATGTAGTGCCGCGATTTCAATCAATACTCGAATAGACGTGATTATTGTAACATCTGAATATGTATCGAAGAAGTTAAGACCTTATTTTTGTCTATATCTTTTGGCTATTAATCTATCTTTGTATTTGTCAATTGATTCACCAGATTTTAGCTTCTTTTTGAGGATTCATTTGCAATCTAAAGTTTTATTTTCTAGTGGAAGATCAACTAATTACCATGTACGGGTTTGCATTATAGATTCAATTTCATTGTTGACAGCTTTTTTTTTTTTTTCAATAAAGAGCTTTAGGAGTAGACATTGCCTCGATAAATTTCAGTGGATCGTTTTCTTGCAAATATGTTAGAAAGTCCAGACCATAAGTCTTAGATATGTTTGTCCTCTTACCGTGCCTTAATTTTTTATCTTCTTGATGATTTTTATTTGCTGTAATATAAGTTCGTTTTTGTGAAATTTACTTCTTTTTCTTTATGAGGAAAGATGTCTTCAAAGAATATAGTGTTCCTTGATTCGATTATAGTACTTTCATGTAATCGGAGGTACAACAACCGAAGTAATATCAGTAGTATCATTAATGATTTCCGTTTATACAAACAGAATATAAACCGATTTATTTCAACAATAAAATCAAGAAAGAGTAGAAAAGGTTAAACTGAAAATGGATTTTAGTTTAATCGAGTAAAGAAAAATATGCTTAAAAAAACCACTTAAATCAATACCGTCTTAAGATTATTAGTAATAATAATGATAAAGTAATTTCTTTATCGCTAGAAATAAAATACAAAGCTTAGCACAAACTTACCCTTACTTAAAACAAAGTTTAAACCTGGAAATTGGATACAAACCTTGAACAAACACAAATTTGAAAAAGGGGAATGCAAGAAGATTTAGGCAAGAATTGAACTCTTTGTTTTTAAAACGAATTTGCCCCGCACGGGTGCTGACGTTGGATTGACAATCGTCTCCTAAGATACAACGATCAACTTCTTGTGATGACATCACTTCGAATCACAAAAAAGACAAATCGAACAATGTTTTGAACTCCTTTTTGTATGAAGATGAAGAACAATTTTTTTTGCAGATTTTTTGCAAGAATTTGATGCTCTATGTATGCAATGATTGCATGTAATTTGAGTGAATAAAACCATCATGGAGAGGTCCAATTTATAGAGATTGAAGTGTTTTGAATTTTCGTTTTTTAATTCAGAACTCATTTTTTTCAACCCTAATTCATTCACTATTTTCTTATTCGTTTGGAAATAGTTTTCAATTTTCAAATATACCAAACTCATCTACTCAATGAGTAGAATATGTTTACCCATTTCTCACCAAATTCGAGTAGCGGGATCCATCCAAATATTTGGCCAAAGATGGATCAAAACCAACTTTTTATAGACTATTTCATTTACATCAAAAGGTACTTGAATTCTTGAAAATAAATGTCATTAGAATATAGATAAGAGATTTTGGTATATGTGTAACTCCATGCTAAATTTCACTTGTCGGAAAAATGCTTGCATGAATGAGGTATTCATATGAAATCTTTCTAGACGTGTTTGATAAATTGTATGATTAGAATGATAATAATCAAATTATGTCATATACCTCTTTGTCTCGGTCAAGGTTCCAAATGACGAGGTCCAGAAGACTTGCCCCTTTGTACTTTCCAATATCCATTAGTCTTTATGTCATAGTGATGTTGTGATAAATAACAGGGTCGGTTCACATGTTCGTGTATAGTTCAAATTTGAAAGGTTCGATATCAGCACTGCTATAAATGAAATATTTAAATAAAAGCTTCAATAATTTAAAAAGTTGAGACCAAGACAACAAGTTTTTTTTCCACCTTAAGCTATTCACGTGGAGCCGTTCCTAACTTTGTAACAAGTTTTATCTTCCTTATAAATTATTGTTCACATTGGGGTTGGTGGGAAATAAAAGGGGGTCTCAATTGTGTGCTCCATCTAGGCATAAATTGGATGTGAAAGTTTTAAATGAATACGGGCTCCATCTAAGCATCAATTTTTGCTTGGACAACCTTATCTTGGAACAAGTTTTCATTTTTTTTTTTAATAAAAAACACTGGTAATTAACATATAACATCTTTATCTCTCATTATTATTGTTGTGGAAGACGTCGTTATTTTTTATTTTTCGATATTTTTACTCTTAATTTTACCTTTCATTGCTCAAAAGGTTATTTTCTCATTTAAAATCTATAAAATAATGAATATACTTTTCTATTTAAATATATATATATAAAGAAATAACAAATTGCAATCATAGTCTCAAATCTTTTAAAATAGTGCAAACGAGTTCCAAATAAATTATTAAAAGGATAATTAGCACATAATGTCCATACATTTCACAATAATTGTGAAAAGTTCATACTTTTTATTTTTTGGCATTTCATCTTTAATTACACATTTGATTGCGCAAACTATTCTTTCTATCATTTTCCATCAAATTTCTCAATAAAAATTATGAAATGACGAATATATTCTCCTATTTAAATAAATAAAAAATAAGATTAAAGAAAATTATTTTTAAAATTTTTAATTTTTAATAATTTATTTGTGACTTTTTGCACTTTTTTTAATAATATATCCTCCTATTTAAATAAATCATTATTCCAAAATAGGGCTCAAACAAGGGCTTATTACTTTTTTTATATTATGATAAAAAAAAAAAAAAAAAAACTTGTTTGTCATATCAACAAAATTATCTTATTTGTCATATCAACAAATCGTTAACTTTGTCATCAAAATCATTAATTTTGACTCTGATTGATAGATTTGTTAATTACGAACATTTTCAAGAGATTTTTTAAAAATAAAATATTCTCTATTTTGAAGAGTAGGTCTTTTAAATTATACTTCAAAAAAAATTTTAAATTAACATTTTAATTTAGAGTTAAATGTAAAGAGTATGTTGAAATACTTTAAAAAAAAATTATTCTCTCAATTTATAAGTGCTTTCTAAATCGCACAATATGATCTTTAAAAGTAGAGAATCTCTTGAAAATGCTCTAAGTTCACTGCTATTAGAATTATAAAAAAAATAAAATTTTGAGCCACTCATATTTTTCATTTTTGAAATTTATATACAGTTTATGCTTTACCCTCTTTGACCGAGCTTTTTGAGATGAATAAGGCTGAACAAATCGGGTCAAAGACAGGAGCTTTTCACAGGGAATAAAGTGACATTGATAGTATTTTTCTTTAAAATTTTTTTTAACTGCCAACGAGAAAATACCCCGTATCTGTTCTTGAATCGCTGTCATTGAATTTGTTCCTATAGCAGAATTGTTTTGAGAATGTAATTCGATAGATTCTATAAATTGTGTTGTTAAAAATATATAAAAAAATCATGGATGCAATAAAATGTGTGCTTAAATATTTAAGTTTAACGAGAAGAAAAAACTCTACCATACAAGAGCTTAAACTTGATGTATATGTTGCTACAATTATGCTATTTGTACATTAAGGTTGACACCGTGTGATGTATCAAAATTAGTGTCATTGATTATTTAAAATGTTAGTAAAATCAATGCATGAAAAATTGAAGATTGAGATTCAATACGTAGGTGCCATTGCCTTCAAGGTTGGTTGCACATCTAAGTCGTGGACACGTGGAATACAAAATTTAACGAATAGTGGGCCATCGCCAGCGAAAATACAGCCAAAAATTCCATGGGTACCTGCGCTGCGTTCAAAGTTTGTTGCACGTCTAAGTCGAGAATTTAGTTACATTGCATGCATATATTGTACTGCAGAAACCAGAAAAAAGGAGGGTGCGAAATGGCGCAGTCAAAGCTTCATATAGCAATGTTCCCATGGTTTGCCTATGGCCATATGACACCATATCTCCATCTCTCTAACGAGCTTGCTCAAAGGGGTCATAAAATCTCATTCTTATTGCCTAAAAAGGCTCAAACTCAGTTTCAAAATGCCAATCTCCATCCCGAACTTATCACCTTTTATGCAATTTCTGTTCCTCAAGTTGAAGGCCTTCCTCCCGGAGCGGAGACAGCCACTGACATACCCCTTTCTCTGGTCAATCGCCTGGCCGCTGCCATGGACCTTACACGCGATGAAGTTAATCAAAAGCTTCATGAATTGAAGCCGGATTTCGTTTTCTATGATATCACGCATTGGATGCCTGAATTAGCTTTAGAAATAGGATTCAAAACTGTGTGTTACAATGTTGTGGGTGCAGCATCTATCGCGATAGCTCTTGTCCCTGCACGGAAAAGTACGAAAGACGGATCTGTATCCGATGAAGAACTGATGGAACTTCCAGCCGGGTACCCAGCTTCTTCAACGGTGGCGTTACGCAAACACGAGGCTCGTTCATTGTCGTTTATTTGTATGGAATTTGGAGATGGGATAACATTCTACGAGCGTATCACGACGGCCATGAGAAACTGCGATGCAATCTCTATTAGAACGTGCAGTGAGTTAGAAGGCCCCTTCTGTGATTATATAGGAAACCAATATGGGAAGCCAATGCTTCTAACAGGGCCTGTCTTGCCTGAGCCAACAAAAGCACCTTTGGAGCACCAGTGGGCTGAATTTCTCCACAAATTTGCGCCAGGTACTGTATACAATACGTGATTTCATGATAAGCCTTGACAGGCGCACAATTTTTTATTGTTGGGATGTGATGCCAATCCAGTCGAACGTTAAGGGCAATGATGAAAGAATAGGGCTTAACACTTTCTAGTATCCATTGCCTGATAACACATTGAAGAAGCTCAGAACCCAAGCCCAATAAATGGTCTAAATCTCACTTAGGAAGTGCAACTTTAGTTGCCACTAATGTGTGAAACCGTCAGCTGGACCTTTGATTACCATCTCAAGATCTGTGGTTATGGTTGGATATATAAATAGGGTCTTTGTGTGTTTGCCCTAATCACTTTTGCCGTCTGTCTTCTTGTGGGTTAGTCTTTCCCTTCGTCTTCTCCCTTCGATTTCAACCTCTAGTTGGTTGATTTTTCTGATTTCTTGGTAATTTTGAGTCTCTGTGATTCTTGTGGTGAGAAGCGAGTGTTTGGTCTTCAGTTTGATGGTTTCTGGTTCATAGAAGTAGCGTCGAACAACCGTTGAGGGTTTGGGTTGAGGTTTCTGATTTGTACAATGAGCCCCAGAATCTGTGATACTTAGACGCTAATGAGTTTTGGGTTGTAACTCTGGTGAAAATATTTAGTATACTTTGTGATATTTTTCGATTTCTTGAACTAACGTTCATAAATATCGTCTTCAACAGGCACAGTGGTATTTTGTGCATTTGGAAGCCAATTGATCCTTGAAAAGCAGCAGTTCCAAGAACTAATTTTAGGGTTCGAACTCACGGGCCTGCCATTCTTAATAGCCCTGAAACCTCCCGTTGGCTGCACAACAATCGAAGAGGCGTTTCCCGAGGGATTCGAGGAGAGAATTCAAGGCAGAGGAATAGTACACGGCGGAATGGTTCAACAGCCACTGATATTGAACCACCCATCAGTAGGCTGTTTTGTGAGCCACTGTGGATTTGGATCAATGTGGGAGTCTCTGATGAGTGGGTGCCAAATAGTGCTTGTACCACATTTAGTTGATCAGATATTGAACACCAGATTGTTGGCAGAAGAACTGAAAGTTGCTGTGGAAGTTGAGAGAGATGAAAATGGCTGGTTTACGAAAGAGGATTTGTGCAAGAATATCAAGTCTGTAATGGACAAAGACAGTAAAATAGGTTGCCAGGTTAAGGAAAACCATGCAAAGTGGAAAGAAACCTTAGCAGATCCTAGTTTTATGAAAAACTATATAGAAACTTTTATTAGTAGTTTGCATGAAATTATGGAGGAATCGAAATAATACCTAGGGATAGGGCTGACATCCAGGCATAAAATCCTAGTACTCATTTTATCAAGAATTTATCTGCTTGTACAGAAGCAGTTCTAAAATTACTTGGGTATTTAACTTATATACTTGTTTAAGAAATAAACCCGATCTATAATTAAACTAGCAGAAATGATCTAATGAGCACCGGTGCTCATTAGATCATTTCTGATTAAACTATCGCCTAATGCTATATTTTGTGTTTTTCTATCTACCAAGTTCTACAAATAATAATACATAAATAGATAATCAATGCATAAAAAGTAACTCGAATAAACAAATGTGGTGAAGAGTAATTAAGGCTCTGTTTGGTACACATTATTTTTTTCATTCTCATTCTTCTACTCATTTTCAACCATACATTCTTCAATAAAAGAATATTTTCCATCACATCAATAACTTTTCCTTCATTTTTAACCACACATTATCCATCAATCTACTAATCAATAATACATTCTTTCAAAAGAATGTGTCCCTCACATTCTAAAAGTACATAAGAACAAAATGAGGTGGCAGAACGACTTCAACATGTACGATATATTTTGTCCAAATCTGGGTAACGTAAAGTATTTAATTACGGCAATTGTATATTCTCTTCTACAATTAAATAGCAGAACACCTATGAAACTGTGGTCTAGAAAACCTGTCTAAATGGGCATTAGTCACGATGTCTGAGTCCAAGCTAAAGTCCAGCCCATTACCGGCTTTAAGGAAAGGCAACTGATGTCAAATTGATTCCAGGTTAAAGTCCAATCCACGACTGGCAAGAACGACTCTACCAGAAAGGCATGAGTTACAATTTCAAAATGAATGGATCGACATCAATAGTAAAAGGGCAAAAAAAAATCGTAACTACCAAGATACAGTTTCAAACTTGACAAACCAGTGAATTCTTTTCAAAAATCAAGTTGTATTCATTAAGAATTATGCTATTTGTACAATGTTTTTATACAACATTGTTGACAATGTTGGATGTGGCAAAAAAATATTGGTTGAAATAATGAGTTGTTTTTTAAACTGCCAAATGATAACATGCCATGTGGCATGTTGTCAACAATGATGTCAAAATCATTGTACATCAAGCACTACTCATTTATTAAATAAGTTAATGTAACAATAACATATAGCCCAGTTTGGCCCCTATTATTTCAAATTATAATTAGAGAAATAGTAAATTTTTTAAAAATGTGTAGTTTAAAAAGAAAGGATTTTTTTTTTTTAGATTTATGTGTAATATTATTTTATTGGAAAATGTGTGGTAGATAAGAAAAGATTAAAAAATTAATTATAAATCAATGAGAAATAATGAGAGGCAAATGGGAACTTAATTTAGGTCATAATTACGTACTAGTCACAAATCACAAAACGTAACAATCACAAAAACTTAAAATATGAATCAAAATTGCAAATTTAATTACAAATCACATATTTTTATAGGTCATAACTTATTTATTGTTAACAAATTATCAAATTAATTGATCATGACTTATTTTTCAATCACAAATTATCAAATTAATTGGTCACAACTTATTTCTATCAAACTAATTGATCACAAATTACCCTTCATCTCTCCCATCCGACTCCACCACCCAAAACATGTTGTCGCCTCAAATACACAACCCACCTCCACCTGCAACACATCGTACCAAAACTGCTACAACCTGCCCACCAACACCAACTCTACAGCCATAAGCACCACTCATAGCCTTGACGCCACCACAACTACCGTCACATCCACATCAAATCCAAAATCACCACCACCAACAATACCACCACCACATCACACAACAACCCCCTTCACCACATGCACCCATTACAACCACCATTGGCCGTCAGATTTGTAACCATCAAACGATCGCCTCGAATCCCAAACTCTACCTACACGGCTACACAACCTGCCAACAAAAAGCAGTTTCTTATCCATATGCAGAAAAATGTCATCTAAATTTGTGGAGCTGAGTAGTCGTCAGACCATCATCAACTGCGATGCTACCAATAACAACCTCCAAACCAGTAGTCATCTATGGAGGCGGAGATTAGAGTTCCAATGCACAAAATGGGCTCCTTGACGACGATTAGAGATAAACCTAGTTTGTTGTCGGCTCGATCGTCGTCAATGGAGACACGGTGTAGCCTAAGCTCCGTATGGAGAGAGAGAAATGCTAAAGAGAAAAAGAAATGGTAGACTAGAGAGAGAAGAGAAAGTGGAGAGAGATATTGTAATATAATCTAATTTAAATAATTTTTTTAAATTATAACCTGATTTTTGAAATTATAAACTTAAATACCGATTCTTGAAATTGAAAGTTAAAAAGCCAGGTTTTAGTAAAACCATTGAAGTCTCTAATTAAACAAAATATTATAGGTCGACATCTCATCCCTTCCTTGAATTCGTTGTGGCCAATTCCAAGATTAGGACTACGATTACACTTACAAGTTGGAGGACAAAAGTTTGGAGAATAAAGGAACAAATTCAAGACCCCACCCTTTCATTACCTCACATCTAAGGTTAAAAGATGATAAGAATAGACAAAGACAGGGGCCTTTGGAACAACAAAAAAATCATCCCAAATGTTAATAAAAGAAAGAGACACAATAGGCATTTGAAGAGAATACGAATCCAAACAAGCCAAAGAGGCTTGTTTTGCAAGTTTTAACACCAGATCTTGTGAAAGAAAGACAAACTAAGGTTACCCCAAATACCCAGTTTTGCATTGAATGTTCCTCCGCTTATGCTGAACCCTATCAATTCTTTGAGTTTCATCTAGTGAACAAGTTCGTGGTGGAGTGTCCAAACAACTTACCGTTCTTCTCTTGCAACCCGTAATTCACAACCATACATACAATGGATGCCATTCAAAATTATACATCAATGTGCAATGCAGAAGTTTCTAATTAGTTCTCCTTCAATTCCCAATTCTTGTGTTCTTTTGAAAATTGTAGAACATCAAGTTTTCTGGAGAAAATTCTGGCAGTAACGCGACTATGAAATATACAACCAGGGATCGTGTGGCGTTCAATACTATACACAACTATGAACTATACAACCAGGGAGCTAGCTACAGCAATATGACACTAAAGTACCACATGAAATCCAATTGCAATCCTCCAACAAAATCTCATATTCAAACAGGAAAATAAAAGACAAAACCAAAGTATGCTCAACATAATATCATTATTAGAACATGTAACGATCCTGGACAACGTAAAATAGCAAAGAAGAATTATAGAAGCAAAAAAAAAGTTATTGCACTAAATTTCCCAGACAATAACAGAGTATTATACATTTTCTGCTCTATAAACTGTCTTCTTTCACATTCATTATGGTATATTTTCTTCCCAGAAATGGCCCGTCGACAGTAACATCAAATCAAACATGTTTTTGTCAAGATACATTCAACCAATTTATGCTAGTAAGAACCGTTTCTACTTCCAAGATTAAACCCTCAAAACAGTTTGTTTATATTTTCATTAATTTTTAACTCTGTTATAGTTTCAAACAAGTTCTATAAATTATTCTACGTTATCACCATAGAATCCTTTTACAAAAATCAAAATTTACTCCAAGAAATATGCACCAAAATCAAGAATTTGCACAGGAGAAATTTTCCATTTAACCATGAAATCAAATAAATTACTCCACAAACAACAATTGAATTCTAAGACTGATACGAAATTAAGCCAAGTAAATCCCAAAAAGAGGGAGTGAAGTAACTTTTACTGTACAAAAACAAGCCTCCCAGCACCAATATCTCCATCGTCTTCGTCGTCATCTTCGCCTCCGCCGCCGCTGCCGTCCTCCTCCTCCGCACCCTTCGGTACCGTCACGACCAGCTCCCCACTGCCATAAGCCGCGGTAGCCAGCTCCGGCTGCGTACATTCCGGGAGCCGAAACCGCCATAGATCGAGCTCCAACTCACTTCCCGACAAGTCAGCGATACCATTTCCCCGGATTACAATCTTGGTCACTCCAGGGTAGATCTCGATTGCGTCGGCAGTCACGTCGTCGCTGACGTCATCAGTATCAACAGTGAATTTAAGGAATTCGGGAGTCTCTTCGATCGAAACGTCGGCATCGGAGTGGAAAGGGAGCTCAAGAACCTTGGCGAATATGTGCGGGAGCCTCCGGAGCTTCTTTTGCCGGCAAGTGTTCGCCTGAGCAAGGACTGATGCGATGTCGTATCGCAGAGTGATGTTGCGCTTTCTTGGCACTGGATGAACCTTCATGATGCCGATTCAAGAAATTTGAAGTGAAGAAACAAATAATTGCTAAGAATCAAAGTTTTTTTTTTTTAAAATCAAGAATCTGATTATGACTAAAGACAAGAAACCCACACGATAATTGTACTAATTTCGGAAAAATCAAGAATTCGATTGGAGGGTCAAAAAAGAGAAGGATGTATGAATAGATAAGTATATTAGTGCGTGTATGTGTGTGCAAATTCTTGGCTTTTTGAGAAGTTTGGACTTGGGAGTCAGATCAGGGTCAGGAAGGGGTGCGGGACAGGGACCCTGATGCAATTGAGCAAGAAGTCCCTCAACCTGTAAATAATTTTCATGATAGCCATTAATTTAAATTTTTATCTCAATTTGTCATTCTATCTATGATGACATCCATCAATTATCGTTCTATCTATCTATAATAACCTTTCCCAATCGCCCGACCACCTTGGTTTTCACCTCGAGGCAAATACTTCGATCCATGGCAACAGCATGATGGGACCTCAAGTCTTTCTATCCTAGTCAAATTTTACATAAGGAATTCTTCTTATCATTACATACTTTGTAACTTTCTGCATACTTACTTTCTCTCATCTTTAGCTAATTCTTGTACCGAATAGGCGATGAGATCCCACCTCATCATCTTTTTGTAGGTATTGGGGAAGTTGTTCGTAACATTCCTCGAAGCCTTTATATTGGTCGTTTTCATGTCATCCCAACTACAGAAAACATCGTTCATGACCAACCTTACCTGGACCTTCAACCAACCTCATACGGCACACAAGTACCCGGGAGGGTCTTTTGCACGTTGCTTCTCAGCCATTTTCAAGTAATCTCAAGTGATCAGAAGCACTATTCTAAATCATCATCGTCCTTCTCTAGTACAATTTTTTATAATTACTAAATGCGTATAATTTAAAAATACTTCACCTAAATTGTAAATTATTAGGTGTGCCTTGTAAATCTCTATTTATGTATCAACAAAATAATGAAAGCTCATAATTAAGTAAAATAATTAAAAGCATAATTGGGCAGCAATTTAATTATGGTTGCTCGCCATATAATATTGCAAGGGCCCTTGGAATCTATAATAGATTTGCGTTCCGCTTTTTGGTGCACGCACTCGCGCACACGACATATAGGAAATTGCCTGGATTTTTCCAGCCTGATTTTATCTGTATAGGAAATTCCAACAAGCACAATATAGATTGCTTCTTACAATTTCTGCTACTGTTTTTTATTTGGAAAATAGAAAGACTTTAGTTTTGTTTTATTTGTTTACTTTTCAAGTTGTCTATAAAAAACTATAACTCGACTGATGATGACTTGAAATGCAAAAAGTGGTATCTAACTCAATTTATGAGAAATCGAAGTATAACCTCGCAGTCGCAGTACAACATTGATGGTTCGTGGTTGGGTAAAAGTGGGTTGCGCCCATGAATGATTTATTGTCAATACGCTTTATTTTCTCAATTTTCGATATGCATCACACATATGTAATTGTAGGATTTCACTGATGCGTCGCATTGACTTACTTAAGCAACAATGTCCTATTAAATGTTTTGAATTCTTTGTGGATAACCTTCTTTGCATACTCAACGTACTTTCATTAGGTTGGACGCCAAAAGAGAACTACTCGAGACGCCAAATATAAGGATTATGTCGAGGAACACCAAAATGTTGACCGTTAATACTTACTAACTGATTTTGAGTTTATCGTCACCATTGATTTTAGTCAAAGTCGAGATGTTTCGAGAATCATGCAAAAGCTTCAAGCGGACAAGGTTGTAACACAATCGAATCAAAGAAATAGCACTTTTGAACTCCACATTTTCAATGACATTATTTTGATTAAAATTCCAGTTAAATAATTTGAATATTATAATGGATTATGAATATGTTTATAGGCATAGACGAGTCCACGTAATGTTGACCGAGGCTGTGTGGGAGGCCGTACACCGAAGTGTCTACATTGCTTAATTCATAAATAAAAGCGATGACACCAAAATTATCCTATTTTTGTCTAAATATTTTATAAATACCTGTTTTAAAGATTTTTAAAATACTTATTTTTCATAAGAAAATCAATATTCATTCTTTTTTTTTTTTTTTCAAATCAATATTTCAAATTTTCATTAAAAAATCAACATTTTTTGCTAAATAAATGTTAGTATTGTTGGAAAATATTCAAAATAAAATAAAATGAAAATATAAAAACAATTAATAGGTTTCAAGTCTATTCAATTCCGTAGTTAATTTTGTATGTGAATTAGGGTTTGTTTGATTGTAAGGGTGGAAAGAAAATGTTTTATAGGGAAAAGATTTTCCTAAAAAATGTTTTACTGGAAATTGTAATTAAATGTGTTTGGAATCTCTCTCGTCCTAGTACTATATAAGAAGGTGTTCTCTTCCTTATTTTACACACCAAATATTTGAGATTTCTCTCTCTTCTTTCTTTGTTGTAAAAAATCTTGTTCTTAATAGTCTAGATAATTTGTTTGTTCTAATTCAGTGATAGAATTGTGAACATTTTTAGATTACCTAAAGTAGTGATGAAATACTAGTCATCTACTTTCAACCATTGTATCCGGTGAGATAGACGCTGTCAGTCTCCTTATACCACAATGGGGAGCGAATATGTTTAAAGGAAATTGTATGCAACGAAGGCTTCGGTTCATTCAAATACTGTTACTACATGAACTACCATATTTTTTTCTCTTTTTATTGTTACTCTATATATCGTAACGTTTCTTTCCATTTTTCTATAATTCCAACAGTATTCATTATTTCTTATTGTATTTTCCTAACAAGTATAACATACGTACTAGTGCTTATTGTGTTACTTGTAGAGTATAGTTAAAATATTTTTATTTGTTATTATGCCCTTGTTTGGGCTCCATTTTGATGGTATTTTAGGAAAAATGTATTTTGGAATAGTTATTTTTCGAGAATGTATGGTTAAAAAAGTAAGAAATTTTTTTGGGTTTACATGTAATATTATTTATTAAAAAATGTGTGGTTGAAAATAAATTTTGAAAATAATATATTTTTTGTTTAGTGGTGCCCAGACAAGGGATATATTTTACTTTCTATGAAAAAATGAATGTTTTATAAGGGGGAAGTCTATTGACATAACCACCACAAAAATACGAGTAACACACTATATTATTCATGCTACACCGCCATGTGCCACCACCAACACCTCACAACATGAGTGGCATATGTGTTACATGTATCAAACAACAATATATTCACCATAAAACGAGAAAGGTAAACTTTAGAAGTTAGTTTTAACTCTCAGTGGACTGAGATTTCGGCTCTAGAGTGCAAGGTGATATTATCTTGGTAATGCCGCATAATACTAAATTTCATAATTTTCTTCTCTTAATTCAATTAAAATTAAAATCAACTAGAGTTCATTTTAATTTTTATAGACAATATCATATTCACTTTTTGACCTTTCAAAAATATCATTAACCTTCCATATTTCACGTGTACATCTTTATCATCATTTTAGTGAATGTCATTTGTACTCCTTCAACTCTATAAATTATTACCATTATATCCTAAATTATTTTCTATAAATATGAGGCGTTGATTCTCAATAAAATACACAAAAGTCTATTGATTTTTCTAGTTTTCCCGCCCTTTCCTTCTAGTTTATAAAACGTTATCAGCACAACTCTCTCAAAATCAAAGTGAATTGGTTAGAAGTTAATAATTTTTTGTATGATAACGTCCATATATAAAGATTTTTTGTTCTAATTAATTTTTATGCATCATGTCTGTATGGCAACTAAATATTTTTATATTTTTAATTATAAATTTAAATTGACAATCTATCATGTTATTTCTGCTGAAATAGCAAAACATTATAATTAATATTAAAAAAGAATATTATTTGCTTTTAAAGAGTATGTATTTTAATTTTAAATATTCCAAAAGAATATTGAGATATTGCTCTTCAAGAAGCAATAGAAAATATAATGTGCTTTTGAAGTGGTATATTTTTCGAAGAATATATCATTTTAAATTCATATTTACCCCTGAAGGAAAACATATAACTCATATCATATTGACATTGATTAATTTGTTTACTTGATTGATTGTTACATGCTTATATGATGTTTATTCGTATTCTTCCAAATTAAATAATTGAATTATATGTTATATTGAACAAGAAGTTCAATTTAATTTTATTGTTTGACATGATCGGTGAACCATCACTTGATCAACATTGATGTAGAATGAGAATTCAAATTGATATGCAATGAAGAAATAAAAGATTCTCCAATCAAATGAAATCATCAACTTTGCCACAGCGACATGCTCGATCACATAGGGGACACATTTCAATACATAATTTAACAGTTTGAAAAAAAAATACATTCATTGTCTACCACACCACCCTATCACTTCCATCCTTGTGATTGAGCATGTTCAATGAGCATTATTCTGAATTCATACACGGCGTTTGTTCTCTTTCATGGAAATTGGTCAATAACAATCACTAATTAAAGTAGGGATTGAATTCTCTACATTTCTGAAAATTAATTAGGGTGATAAATTGGGTCATGTCATCCTCCACGTTGACCATCTAGACATTATTTGTATTTAATAGATTTGATACACGTACTAGATGATTGCACGGTGTTCGCAACATCAAATATGCAAAATCACTGCTCAAATTTTAAATTACGAGAATAATATTCAAATTACACAATCAAGATGGTGTGTCTTGTTAATGTTAGTGATCCTTAATCACAACATTTTGATAAGTGTTAGTTGGGAGTTGATAAAGACTCAACACTATTGTTAAACTCCTCCAATTCATTGAGAACAAAGTTATTTCCATTTCTATTTAGGAAAAGCTATTACACATCATGTCAACATCATAATTCTCCCTATTATAATTGGCTTATCGTTATAGCCTACTTTCTTTATCATATTATTCGATAGCACAATTAATCTACCACAATATACTGAGATAAAAAGTAAAGAATATT